AATAGACACGGGGTGTGCTAAAATCAGGAGACATCTGGATCAAATTAAAATGAGATTCTCGAATGATGTTCCTGAAGCCACGATTAAGGACAAGGACTCACTAACATAATTTGCAATCGATAGGCAAAATGACGAATATCCTACTGGGTCTATCTACATAAGAGAAAGGAGCAATATGAAAGAATCAATGAATCAGTTATAAGGAATGCTCGATCGGTCACTCAAACAAATACCAAAACATCTGGAAGATTACATCATGAACGTCAATAGCGTTACTACTCAACTTATCCAAGGAAATCATAAGACGAATTTCTTTGGAAGGTGGAATGTTAAATAAAAGAGATTACACCTTTGGGTGAGAATTTTATATTAACATTTTTTTTATATCATTTTAACGTTACATTTTTTTAAATATCAATTTGTGTTTCACATAATTGGTTATTTTTTTATTGTCATAAAAAGATATAAAAGGAGTTTTTTTTTGGTTTAAAGAGATAATAAAATGTAATTTATAAAAAACAAAATAAAATTATGATTTATTCCAACAATATATAAGAAAATTCTGTCTAAATCATCATAGTAATAATACATAATAGAGGATTCTATACTAATATTTTAATATTAAAATAACTTTCCTACATTTAATATTATATTATGGAGGTCAATATAATTGCATAATATATAGAAGTTAAATTACATAATTATAAAACTATATAGAACAGAATTAAAAATAAATATTACCGATTGTTTTGACTATAAAAATAATCATTACTTACATTATAATAAATTTCTGAGAATTTGATTAATTTTTTGTCCCATGGGAATAAAAGCATAAAATTTTTGTATTTCGAGAAATAATTTTGCTGTTAAAAATCTATTTTCGAGATGTGTTGTCAAACTTAAATATTCAAAGTTGCTAAAAAATAAGAGTTATTTCTTGCGTAATTATATAAATATAGGTATTAGGTTTTGATTTTCTTAAGAGCATGATTTAGTCACTAACCATTGCTGAATTACATTCAGCCTTGATTTCTTATGGTTGAGAAAGTTTGTAAAGATTTTATATTGAACAAACGCTTCATCAGAAAAGTAAAAACAATTAGAAATTTGTTTGAAATCAATAAAATACACGTGCTGTATTTTAGCAAATATAATAATGTAACTTACATGTTATTTTTCCACTTTCAAGATAATAAATCAATGGATATAAGTTATAGCTAGATTTTAGGTCCAATGGAGGCCTGAGTGATCTAGGATTATAAGATTATATCAGTCCAATGGAAGCCTTAATGATCTAGAATTTTAAAGACGAAATTTCCGGCATAACATATTAAAAATTCTTTATCATTCAAATTAGATTTTAATGCGTTAAGAAACAATGTCGTAAAGAAATAAATCAATGAATTCAATTAAATATTCTATAAAATTACTGGCAAACTTTGTTAAAATTTACAGCTGACCATTGTTTATGTATTATCTATAGTATTGATAGCAATGAGGTGCCAGGATAAATTTTGTATTTCATTAAATAAAGGCTGAGTTGGAGTACAAAGACTTAGAGTACTGTTGTTAAAACGCCGCGTGTCGCGACCCTGACCCAAAGTTCGGGTCGTTTTTTTCGACTCAGACTTGAAGTTTGATCCTTTTTTCGACTCAGACTTGAAGTTTGGGTCGTTTTTTCGACTCACACTCAAACATCGGGTCGTTTTTACGACTCCAACTTATTTGAATTTTTTTTAAACAAATGGTTAAAAATAGATATTGTAAAATGTTAAATTAAAATTTCAGTGAAAATGTACCATAGGAAAGTGACAATTGTCATAATCGTCATTTTTGAACTTTTTTTAATTTTTTAAAGGCAAATGGGTAAAAATATAATTTGTAAAGATGTTAAATTGAATTTTCAGTGAAGATGTACCATAGGAAAGTGACAATTGTCATAATCGTCATTTTTGAACTTTTTCCTATTTTTTTTAGACAAATGGGTAAAAATATATTTTGCAAACATGTTAAATTAAAATTTCAGTAAAGATGTACCATAGGAAAGTGACAATTGTCATAATCGTTATTTCTTTTTTCAATTTTATTGAAGCAGATAAATATATACTGTAAACATGTTAAATCAATTTTTCAGTGGTGAAAAATCTTGAAAAAATTAAAATAGCCATGTTGGTAATTTTTTTGGAATATTTTTTTACTATTTGATTAAATAGAGTTTAAAAATAATTATGACTTTTATCACTTTTCTATGGCTTTTATTGAAATTTTAATTAACTAGTTTATAATTTATATTTTAACCATTTTCTTCAAAATATTCCAAAAAAATACCAACATGGCTATTTTAATTTTTTCAAGGTTTTTCTTCACTGAAAAATTGATATTGGTGCATCTTCATTGAAATTTTAATTTAACATGTTCACAATATATTTTTTTACCCATTTGCCTTAAAAAAATTTAAAAAAGTTCAAAAATAACGATTATGACAATTGTCACTTTCCTATGGTACATCTTCACTGAAATTTTAATTTAACATTTTACAATATCTATTTTTAACCATTTGCTTTAAAAATCAAATAAGTTGGAGTCATAAAAAACGACCCGATGTTTGAATGTGAGTCGAAAAAAAACGACACAAACTTCAAGTCTGAGTCGAAAAAACGACCCCAACTTTGAGTCGGAGTCGAAAAAAACGACCCATATTTTGGGTCGAAGTCGTTTTTATCGGCTTGGACTCGAAAAAAACAACCCATATTTTGGGTCGAGGTCATTTTTTTGGCTTAAACTCGGGCCGAGGTCGAAAAAAACGACCGATATTCTGAGTCGAAATCGAAAAAAACGACCCAAACTTTAAGTCGGAGTCGAAAAAAACGACCCAAAATTTGGGTCCTGTTAGAGCCGACTCGGCTAACCCGATTAACAACACTAACTTAGAGCAACAATGTTTAGGAGAAATGAGTGTTATCGTGATGCACATCAATTATGAGTTTAAAATTTTGGCGACAGATGTAGTTTCTTAAGATACAATTTTAGGTCTTAGGAAGTTATGACATATATTATACCACTAGGTTTTTTTGAAATGAGTAAAAATTTCTTTAATATTACATAAAGTTAATCTTTTTATATTAAAAATTAATATACATTTCAAATATTAACCATGCATGCGATCAATTTTAAGTGTGATAATCCTTGGACCAAGGCCTAGAATTTTATATAAATATAAGGTAATAAATTGGTTTTCAATTTTTGGTAAGAAGCTGATCTTAGCTATCCAATTTTATGTTATATTGAAGGGCTGAGAGGTAAAAAAATCAAGTTTTGTTAAATTATTTTTGGAGCTATCTAAAATTAAATGGTGCATTTCGTAATTTTTGCATTTTTAAAGGTGTGAGATTTACCAAAATATTTATTCTCAAAATTATTTGAGGTGCTGGTTTTACTAAAATAAACTTCCCTAAACTAAGGAAATGGGACATTATTAAACAAACTAACCTTAGTTTTGGATGATCCTCAGGAAGGTTTTTATCTATGTCAACTAATTTCAATGAAAATATGTAGGCCACATATTATATCACGGTGCCATTACCTAGAGGCACCTTCTCCTTTTATTTTTTTAATTTTACTAGATTTAATGATCACACTAACACGTTGAGACATCTTTAGAAAAATTTATCATTACTGGCTAACCCGTCTAAAATAACTGAAAGAGGATATCTGCAATAACCACAATAATATATGTATAAATTTTATCTTTATGGAGTTTTAGTTTTACTCGATTTAATTATCTCACTAATATGTTGAGATATCTTTAGAAAAATTTATCATTACTGGCTAACCCGTCTAAAATAACTGAAAGAGGTTATATGCAATAACCACAACAATATATGCATTTATTTATGGAGTTTTAGTTTTACTCGATTTAATTATCTCACTAACACGTAGAGACATCTTTAGAAAAATTTATCATTACTGGCTAACCCGTCTAAAATAACTCATGGAGGATACCTGCACCACAATAATATCTGTATAGATGTTATCTTTATGGAGTCTTAGTTTTACTCGATTTAATTAAGGCATCTTTGAAGAAATTTATCATCATTGGCTAACCCGTCTAAACTTACAGATGGAGGATATATGCAATAACCAAAATATTGTCTATATAAATTTTATCTTTATGTAGTGAAGAGGTATCTTTACATTCGATTTAAATATTATTATTGTGGTAAAACTCATAAAAATAGACAACGTAATTTTAATTACTTCATTCTGAGTCATATGAATGTCACCCTTATCAATCGAATATGAGCCATGTTCATTAATTTATAATTATCAAATTAAATATTTAAAAAATTTCTTATATATTCCAAAATGTTTATAGTTCGTATTATCTTAACTAATGATAGTTTTTTTCTCAAAAACAACACTATAATGGGCTTTTCAATTGCTCCTCTAACTTACTACTATACTGAGACCAGAAGTCAAAATTTTAGGCACTGATTTAAAGATAAATTTTATTTTCAAGCCAGGCCGGAATTTCATTTTTGATTATTTTTAAGGCCCAGCCCAGAATTTTGAATAATTTTGGCTATGTTACAAATTGTTTCAAAGGGAAATTGAAATATGAGTAATAAATTAATATTAAACGCTCCATATGATTTAATTGATATAATTTTTTAAAAAATTTTTAATTGCCTTAGCCTGGATTTTCAAAATTACATTTTTCGGCCCGTTTCAGACTAAATAAGAATAAAACATAGATATCGGTACTGGATAGTTAATTGGATCAGTATCGGTGAAAAGTATTGGTGCAGCAATCATAAAATATAGTTCCAATAATCTAATGATAAGGTATGATATTTTAAAATGGCTGTTGTATAAGAGTAAGAATCTTATATATAATCAAGGGGATAGGCAAAATTATAATGCAATTCATCGATACATCGTCATTTATTTTATACATACAAATATCAAATGTTATACAAATTATTATTAAAGATTTTGATCCTATTTTAGCATATACTTTTTAAAGATAGATAAAAATTTCATCGCGATATACATGGTCGCAAGATTATAATTAGAGATATATATTTATTATGTATAATATCACCCTATTAAGACGCAATATGAATGCAAAAATCACATCTTTAACTGTTGGAATATTTGATTAATTATTTAGTGCCGCCAGATGGCAATAAAATTATTTTTATATATTTGTAAAACCGCATTTATAATTGTCTACAATCCATGTTTATTGGTATATCACATTCCCTTTCTAAGATGTAAAATATTAAATAATATATTTAATGTTTCAAAGGTAACGTATTTTTTAAGGATATCATATCAAAATAAATTACTTTCTCTGAGTAGCTAAACTTCTAAGCAATCTGTTTCCAGAGAAAAATAAGATGGGACCCAGCAAGGTCATATATTTCAAGGTTTGGAACATGTTGAGTTTAAGCCAAAACATAACATACAAACCGAATACAGCTAGGAATAAAAAATTATTATTTTTTCCTCGTTAATAATTGCTTAAAAAGAGATCTGGGGAGATGTTCTCATTATATACCGAAGTGTTTTTTTGAGCCCAGGAAATTATTAATTTTTTTAGGGTTTAGTTCTTACCCAGGTCTTAAATCGGGGCGAGGGGCGTCTCAAAAAATATAATGTAAAGTTAACGAAAAATATTTTACATAATAAAAACTTTTAAACCTGCTAAAGAAAGATGAAAGATGATAGCCCATATTGAAAAGGTGAATCTTTCGAAATTGAAACCTATTTTCAACCACTTGTTAAAAATAAATTTTAATGAATTCATAAATTATTTAAATCTTTTTTTTAAAAAAAGAGTTTTTCGTTCCATATTAGAAATACTTTTAATTAATCATTTATCTTTTTAAAATTTTTTTAAAGAATATACTAAACTTATAAAGCATTAAGGATCGCACAGATAGTGTGAAACTGTCGAGTAAAATTCTCAGACATCCGTAACCAAAAATTAATAATTATAAAAAGCCACAACAATGATAATTGGCAGAGTTGTTAAAGGATCTAGATAGATTTTTGATTAAATAATCTATATCTAGATATTATTTTAGACGTTGTATTTGTATCTAGATCCATTTAAAAAGTATCTTTTAACAACTCTGATAATTGGTGATAAAAAATAAATTAAAAGACTCTTTTATATAGATTTTAATTTTACCATTATAATCATATACAATGCAGGCATTATGACTAGGGCACAAAACATAAGACTAACAACCATGGGAGGCCTTTTTTCTGGAACTTTGAACACGTGCTATAAACAAAATATTAATAAATACAACAATAACATGCCAAATTCTTTTCAAAATCATAATTATATTCAAAATCATAATTATATTCAAAATCATAATTATATTCAAAAAAATTATATATTATTTAGAATAAAAAAGACTACAAAAATTTAAATATCTTTGCTTGATAAAAAAAAAATTCAAATGTAACCTTAATCTCGGCTTTTTCTGCAAAACGACTTTCGGCTTCCTTAACCTTCGCTTCTGTAGGAGAGACATCGCCAGTTACTGAAGGAAAATTAAGCTGACAATCAGTAAAAGTCCATTTTATGGGGTTGGAAATGAACCTGTCTCCAACAAATAATTCCACTTCATATTCACCAGATAAATGATCAAATTCTTTGGCCCGCTTGTTGTCTAAAATCTGTTTAAAATCGAAAAAAATATTGTTATATATCTACGCTAGAATTAAAATAAGATTACACTCACCAAATCAAACTCGTAAATTTTGGTATTCGCTTTGGGTTCCGCCACAAAAATTACCTCCTTTTTATGAGAAGCCCTGCTTGTAAACCTAACAAATACTTGCTGAACGAAAACATTCTCATCGTTATCGTCTTTGATGGAAAAAGTGAGTGACATTTTATTATGGGGAAACAATTTTAAGAGATCGGCATGTTTCTGCAGGGTAGCGGTTGGTAAACTTTTATATAAGATAATATTTTAGAAAAACTTTTAATTTATTTTTCCTACTCTTCTGTATTTTTGACCTAACCATAATAATATAAATATAAACCTTATTTTTTGGGTATTCGTTCCATGCTCTTTATCCGTAATTTGAAGTACAACATCATTAAGCGCAATTTCTCTGGCCAAATTAATGACAGTTGTGGCGCCTTTAAGACCAAAATATGTTTTAGTTTTAACTGGATCCTTGACTTCTACATTGGTGGAAGCTGGTTGTTGAATATCGAGAAGTATTTCGTATGAAGCACCAATAGGTAATTTTATGTCTTTTATGTTGGCTTGATACCAGACGCTAGTAAAATTTATTATATGATAAATGCACGTTTAAGCATTTTAAGGTGAAGATAAATTCTGAACTACTAAAATCAATTTATTTTTCTTGGATCGAATATATGGAGATCAAAGTTGTAATCCTAAGATTTGGAAAAAATAGCAGGGTAGAGCAAAGACTTGAGTTGATATCTTAATAAACTCTAAAGGGTCGACAAAACTATAGGAATTTTAACGGCTTTTTTAAAATAATTTTAAAAATTAGACCTTAGTTTTAGTAATAAGTAGATATTTTTTTAATTGAATTATTATAAACAAGTTTTATTATATCATAGGAAATTCAATCTCATACTATTAGATCGAGATTAAGAAAAAAATGGTGATGTTTAATATTTAAATTATTCGTTATTATATGAAATCAAAAACATTGGGATTGGGAATAGTCAATTAGTATACGCGGTCGCTGCATTTTTTGCGTATAATTTAACTATTATTTTTTGAAAATATTTAAGCGGTTAATCGCGCAATTTGCGCAAATCTAGCGAAAAAATTAATATAAGCCATTTTTAATGGAAAATAAAAATTTTGGCCTAAATCATTTCGTGAAGTTTTAAAATTTTTACGATTCGTAAATATTTAATGATAATGGATGAATATAAACTTATGGAAAGTATTAGACCACATAGATATTTGTGGTGCAATAGCGACCTAAAATATAGAGATACAGCTGCAAGTAAAGTAAAATGGACATAAATTGGCAAGATTTATGATCTAAATTATGAACAAATTAAGAAAAGGTTTGTTGCAAGTAAGACCAAATTCAATAAATTTTATTCTATATCTAGAAAATCAGGTTTAATATTATATATATAAATATTATTTTATATCAATAGTATAAATATTATTTTATAATTTAGGTTCAGGTGCTGCTATGATGAATAGCAAGCACCTGAAATTTATTGAAGACTATTACTGGCTAAAGGAAAATGTAGAGGATATTTGTAAACATTCTGAAGCAAGTTTTATTTTGAAACAATCTAAGGATACTATAAATATACATACCACACCACAAGTATTATAACAGGAGATTATAATTATATAATAATCTATATTGTAGGATTGTGAGCCAAACACTGAGGATCTGTTAAATGATATTGTAAATCCTCTTAATTCTGTAGAAATAGATATTTTTGAGAACAAAATTTAGAAGTTATATATTTATTAAATATCTATTAATAATTTAATAATAGTTAGAAAATTCTATAAACAATGAAAATATTCATTCTTCTACCTCAAAAAGGAAAATATTATTTTCTGAGAATGAAATTTTAGAAGTTATAAAATTATTATATATATATAGTGTTGCGTAATCGGCTAATTTTAGCCGACTAAAAACGGCTTAGCCGAGATTTTAGGTGGAAACATCGGCTAAGCCTAATTAGGTATAGCCTAAAAATCGGCTAAGCCTAAAAATTTAGCCTAAAAATCGGCTAAGCCTAAAAATCGGTAAGCCTAAAAATGGGCTAAGCCTAAAAATTGGCTAAGCCTAAAAATGGGCTAAGCCTAAAAATTGGCTAAAATAAATTAGTCAAAATTCTGCATTATTATTTATTTATTTTATCTCTGGGTTTACTTTCTGCACGCGCTGCACCTTCGATAGAAGCTCCAACAATATATTTAATGTAAATATTTTATTATTATCAACAAATAAACATGATATGATTTAATATTTTTTATTTATATTATTATATTTTGAAATGAAAATAAATTTATTTATTTGATATTTTTTTAACAAAAAAAATAATATGCTGCTATATTGTAAAAATGTAATATTCTTCTTTATAATATAATTTTTTAGTGATTTTCACAATCTTCTTTGTAAATACATCTTTTATTGAGGAATTATATTGTAAATTTTATTAGATAAATAAACAATCTTTTAGGTGAAATCTTTTATCATTTTTTTAAAATTATCTATTTATTATTAAATGAGGTGGATTTTATGAAATTTTTTTGATGTTATTTTATATGATCTTTTTAAGGATAATATTTTAATGTGACAATTGTCATAATCGTTCTTTTATAAGTTTTTTGAATTTTTTTGACGAAAATATGTTAAAATAAGAATTAATAACATGTGTAAATATAAATTTAGTGAAGATGTACCAATGAAAAGTGACAATTGTCATAATGGTTAATTTTAAAGTATTTTGAATATTTTTGACGAAAATTTGTTAAAATAAGTATAAATAACATGTGTAAATATAAATTTAGTGAAGATGTACCATAGAAAAGTGACAATTGTCATAATCGTTATTTTTAAAGTTTTTCGAATTTTTTTGACGAAAATATGTTAAAATAATTATTAATAACATGTGTAAATATAAATTTAAGGAAGATGTACCAATGAAAAGTGACAATTGTCATATTCGCTATTTTTAAAGTTTTTTGACGAAAATATGTTAAAATAAGTATTAATAACATGTGTAAATATAAATTTAGTGAAGATGTACCATAGAAAAGTGACAATCGTCATAATCGTTATTTTTAAAGTTTTTTGAATTTTTTTGACGAAAATATGTTAAAATAAGTATTAATAACATATGTAAATATAAATTTAGTGAAGATGTACCAATGAAAAGTGACAATTCTCATAATCGCTATTTTTAAAGTTTTTTGAATTTTTTTGACGAAAATATGTTAAAATAAGAATTAATAACATGTGTAAATATAAATTTAGTGAAGATGTACCAATGAAAAGTGTTGTCATAATGGTTAATTTTAAAGTTTTTTGAATATTTTTGACGAAAATTTGTTAAAATAAGTATAAATAACATGTGTAAATATAAATTTAGTGAAGATGTACCATAGAAAAGTGACAATTGTCATAATCGTTATTTTTAAAGTTTTTTGAATTTTTTTGACGAAAATATGTTAAAATAAGTATTAATAACATGTGTAAATATAAATTTAAGGAAGATGTACCAATGAAAAGTGACAATTGTCATAATCGCTATTTTTAAAGTTTTTTGACGAAAATATGTTAAAATAAGTATTAATAACATGTGTAAATATAAATTTAGTGAAGATGTACCAATGAAAAGTGACAATTGTCATAATCGTTATTTTTAAAGTTTTTTGAATTTTATTGACAAAGATATTTTAAAATAAGTATTGATAACATGTTTAAATAAAAATTTAGTGAAGATGTACTCTAGATAAGCGACAATTGTCATAATCGTTATTTTTAAAGTTTTTTGATTTTTTTTGACGAAAATAGTTAACTTGCATCGATATTGATTTTAAAATAGAAAAAAAAGTTTACCCAAATTTTAAACAAGATTGTCTGGTGAAAATTGGTAAAAAAATAATAATTTCTAACTTAGGATTAGATATTATGATATAAATTTTGCATATTAATTTCTGACCCGATGAACAAATGTAATAAAATGCCAATTTGCTCCTGTTTTTGGGGAAGAATCTATTATTACCATATGTTTTTCTATGGCATATACTCAGGCAATTTTAATTTTACAATCTATATTTTTACCCATTTACATCAAAGAAATTTTAAAAATAACGATTATGACAATTGTCACTTTTCTATAGTACATCTTCACTAAATTTTTATTTAAACATGTTAGGTAACAGATTAAATCATGGGGAAATTTTCATATATTATTTTTTTTTAATATTTTTTTTTATTTATTTTTTTTTAAATATATTTTTTTATTTATTATTTTTCTTAAATTTAAAAAAAAACTTAAGTATATTTAAGAATTTAGAAAAAAAGAGTATATTTAAGAATTTAGAAAAAAAGAGTATATTTAAGAATTTAGAAAAAAAAGTATATTTAAGAATTTAGAAAAACAGAGTATATTTAAGAATTTAATAAAAATAGGTATACTAAATAATTAATCAACTTATTTGAATAAACATAACATATATACAATTAAATTTAAAAAACTTTGATATTGTATCAAAAAATTTCCTTCAAAATCCATACGATATTTATTTATCAAAAAAAAAATCCAAAAATATGCCAATTGAAAGAAAAAAGTAACATTCAAAAATTTCTACCAAAATCCAGACAATCTAAAAAAAATAAATAAAAAAAAAATATTAAAAAAAAAATAAATAATATATGAAAATTTCCCCATGATTTAATCTGTAACCAACATGTTATTATTACTCATTTTAACATATTTTCGTCAACAAAAATCAAAAAACTTAAAAAATAATGATTATGACAATTGTCGCTTATCTAGAGTACATCTTCACTAAATTTTTATTTAAACATGTTATATATACTTATTTTAAAATATTTTCGTCAAAAAAATTCAAAAAACTTTAAGAATAACGATTATGACAATTGTCACTTTTCATTGGTACATCTTCACTAAATTTATATTTACACATGTTATTAATACTTATTTTAACATATTTTCGTCAAAAAAAATTCAAAAAACTTTAAAAATAACGATTATGACAATTGTCACTTTTCATTGTCTTCACTAAATTTATATTTACACATGTTATTAATACTTATTTTAACATATTTTAGTCAAAAAATTCAAAAAACTTTAAAAATTATGACAATGTCAATTTTCTATGGTACATCTTCACTAAATTTTATTTAAACATGTTATCAATACTTATTTTAACATATTTTCTTCAAAAAAATTCTAAAAAACTTATAAAATAACGATTATGACAATTTTCACTTTTCTATGGTACATCTTCACTAAATTTTTATTTAAACATGTTTTTAATACTTATTTTAACATATTTTCTTCAAAAAAATTCCAAAAACTTGTAAAATAACGATTATGATAATTGTCACTTTTCTATGGTACATCTTCACTAAATTTTTATTTAAACATGTTTTTACTATTTATTTTAACATATTTTCTTCAAAAAAATTCAAAAAACTTTAAAAATAACGATTATGACAAATGTCACTTTTCATTGATATATCTTCACTAAATTTATATTTACACATGTTATTAATACTTATTTTAA